TTCAGATTCTAAGCCTAACTATCCTCTTCGTTCTCATTCTTTTTAAAACTTCCTCGTTGCTTAAATCGTCTTCGCACCATTCTTTTGTAGAAGCACGTATCTGCTGCCTCAAGTTTCTTCTACATCCGTGGGCATATTGTCCAACATTTCACTGTCATATAGGCGGATTGATATTGTATCGTTTTTAAACGCTCTTTTCTTTGTTTCTAACGAGATTTGATTGCTTTTTAATAATTTTAGGATTCCACTGAGCTTTCTGATTTCTATATCACATTTTCTGCCGTCTGTTTTTTACACTTCTCAGATAGCTAGTTTTAAGTACTTGCTTGTTTTTGAGGTCTTCAATTTGAAGCTCGTATGATAGGCTTCCCGACAAGCTAATGGACATATATACTATCTTCTTACAATTGATCGTTAGTCCTTTATTCTCGCTTTCCTTTACTACCTTGTTTGGCAGTTCTTATAGTTTTCTTTTTGTATCTGTAATCAACCCGGCATCATCTGCGTATCTTATGTTTTTAAGATGAAAAAAAATCATACGATATCAAGCAAGGCGATAAAACCACTAAGACGTAAGAGGGTTACTGAGACTGAAAATTAAACGAGCAAACTTTGAGGAGATAAAGGACATTAAAAGACCAGGATACAAGGACACAGAAGATGACGATTGTCGGTGCCCATAAATTTTTGAAGATCGTACTTGAGAAGAAGCCGGAAGATAAATTCACAAGCGAGAAGTGCGAGAGAAGAAATCATTATCTTTGAATTGACGCATCGTTTACCCTTAGCAATTTCATCAGTAAAATGATAAGACCTAACTGCCAGTCTAGTACTGCGCTTAAATTTGTGAAGTGCTTAAATCCTGGCTGAAGTACTTCTGTTTCTGTCAAAACAATTTCCCAGAATATGTACTATATATCAGAGTTGATCATGCTAGTTGTTGTATCCTTAAACAGACAAAGGTGGTACTCGAGTGAAGGAACAATAACATGCGCGTAGATGAAAGAAGAGAGGTTTATTGTAAAAGAGAATACACTACTGAAAGACAGGAAATTGGGTGGCAGGGTAGTAATTCCCGAATCAAGCCCCCAGGTATATCCTATGCTCACTATATATAGCTACTAATATAGTCAGTCCACATAGGCGATAGGGAGTGTGGGACATTCCATTACAACACAAGTCACTGTTGACACAATAAGATTAATATTAACCAATGTTGCTACCAATTTCAAGATTGACGTCCCTAGATTTACTTAAATGTTTACTTATATAGCTACGATAAATATATGCTTAGGGTAGCCCACATCGAAACCCGTGGATCCTTCTCTTGAATTTGGTTAATGAGGTTGACTCGCCAATCATTGTGCTACGATATGGAAGCACAAATACTTATGATTATATATTAAATATTGACTAAATGCAACATAGCCTGGCAAATGACCATTTTAGGAGAAGTGAAAATAATTAGCACTTATAATAAAGGTCGGATATTGGTGACACCCTGCTTATAGTATCACCACTATTGCTTTTAACACACACACACACACACACACACACACACATATATATATATATATATATATATATATATGAATGAAATTTATCTTAGCCGACGGAAATTATCAAGGAAAACTAATTTTTTATATATAAGAATACATTTATTTTGTAACAAGCGTATATATATATATATATATATATATATATATATATATATATATATTATTGCAAAATAAAGTCCTTGAATTTGCTCTTGATAATGTCCTGTAGAGGACAAAACGAATCGCCTAGACAAGTTTTTCTTCTGTCTTTATTCAAATTGTCCTTTT